AGGTTCGCATTAGCATACATTTATAAGAGTGGGGAAAAGTATATGCATTTTTTAATAGTTTTTTGAATATGGCTCTTTGAAGACGAAAAAGCAGACGAAAAGCATAGACTTACAAAATGACTGATAACTAAATAACTAATCAAAATTTTTGAAAAAGAAAAAAAGTACTTCTTCATTATGTCAAAACACAATTATGTGCCGAGTTTCGTGCCTGGGCGAAGCTTCTGGGGCGATATATTGTGATTACAGACACACACACAGCCGCGTTTATTATTATGTATAGATGAAAGGAGTGATGGCATGGCTTTGTGAGGAAACAGAAAACAAATACCCAAATTCAATCAAATGTGCAAGAAAACTATTGTTACCGATTCCATCTTCATATTTAGATGAATGTGGATTTACTGCTGTAAATGATTTTATTGATAAAAAAAAAGAAATCGTCTGGATATAACACAACGGGCAGACTTGAGACTGAAGCTAATCAAATTGGAACCTAAGATAAAATCTACGTGCAGCAAGCATCAAGGGCAAGAATCTCACTAAATTAGAATATTAAATTATTATAAAAAAATCTTTATAAAGACTTAATCTGTATAAAGAATCTTAAAGTTATTTCGAATTTGAATTTTAGTTTTTCATTATATGTTCTGAAAATTTACTTACTTTGTTTCGCTAACAGTTTCCCAAGTGAACAATTCGATTTTTTAATATTAAAAACTATCTATGTTACATAGGGGGGGCATAAGAATTTTAGAAAGGCTTATGTGGGGCATGGTACAAAAAAGGTTGGGAAACAGTGATCTAGACAGTCTTTGCAACCCATGATTTAAAATTCTGTGTCGTTCAACGGAGTCAATCCAAAATGAAAAAGCATTTGTCCATTGGGTAACGAGTGATCCTAAAAAGGCGATCATAACTTCTTTCCTTTCGCCTTTATCTTGTCTTTTTTTAAAATTATTTTCTCATTGGTGAAGCGTTAGTCGTTGTCATTGCAATTAATTTTTCTTCACTATGTCAGATTAATTCAATGAGCAACATTAACGAGGAAGGATTCGTACACTACGTCACCAAATTACCATTTCAAATATCTGATATCACCTTTATTTTTCTCATAAAAAATTCTTTTAAAATGTGTTCCTTAAAACTTAATATAATTTAAAACCTACGAATTAAATTGAAAAAAAAAACATGCATTTAATAGCAAAATCAATAGGAAAGTGTTACTAATTCACTTCGGAGAAACTTAACAAATCATCATTTTATTAATGACTTCAATGATTCTTAATTAATTTAGATAATATACGCACATTGAAATAAGCTAAATGGTAAATTTAATGGAGTAAAGGTTCTTACTCGTTTAGTGGAACCTTAAAAAATTGTCATACTGTTATTGAATTTAATGATGCTTAATTAACGTTGTTAAATTGAAAAAAAAAGACCTCACCACTGAAAAGAAAAATTAATGAAAAAATATACTTATTAATATTAGGAATATTATTATTCACCATGCTGTTGATACCAATAGCGCTTAGTTAATTTAAGTATCGTATATTAATTCGAATTAAAAAAAGAAGTTATGTTCTATAGAGCAAAACTTATAAAGAAATCGTTAGTTGGAAATTCATTTAGGGAAACAATACGCAGATGACACTTAATTAATAATATGTACTGTACTGGTATTATGGTAATTGGTGAAGTATTAATAATAATTCTACAATACGATTTCCGTAGTTTCAGAATACATTTTTCAGTGGTAGCAAAGCTTAGTGCATTAATATTTTAATGAATTTTAAAATTTAAAGAGCTTTTTCCACTACCACTTTTAAATATTTTAAACAGAAGTTGATAAATAAGAAGTAAATAAGAAGTTGATTGATTAGTGGCTTCCAACAGGCTGCCCGCTGGCAGCATCCGACTCGCGAAACATTTTTTTGCGACCCGCAAACTTAAATATATTAGTTGTCATTTTTTTAGGACAATTTTCGTAAAAAATCTATATGGGTTTAAAATACTTTTCTCATTAAAAAAACCTAATTTAATCTTTTCTGTGAAATTTAACATACCAACGGTGCAAAAAATAATTATTTCTCAGGTTTTGCATCCAAGAAAATATTTATTCAAATACAAAAATAATCCCTTTTTATTTCATTTTTTTCCTATTTTGTGAATATAATTTAGCATGAAATTTTCTCAAAGAAATTCTCCGATTTAATTTCTTGAAACCACTCATTTTAGACGAAAATATTTACACACATTTGTAAATTTTAAATTTTGTAAATATCTATTCACTGGTGGTTGGAGCAGACAAACCTCAATTTTCTCATTGAACACTTTGTGTGCTACTATGTAAGTTTCAATCCCTACCCTTTTAAAGTTTTATATCTTAACAATTAGATATCTGTTTCACATTAATTGTTTAATATATAGGTGCACATTAAAGTTATTGTAGCCCAAATTTTTTAATATGCAATTAAATACTTTTAAAAATCTACTTCTTATTTTAACTTGAAATTTAATACTTATGTTTTGTACAACTTGGTAAAAATCTGACAGTAATATTTAATGTTTCTTGAAACATAAAAGAGTCCGATATGAAATTTTTATAAAGTTTCGGCCCGCCTTTTGGTTTGTGTTTTTAATTGCGGCCCCCCGCCTCATGTGAATTGGAAACCCCAGTAAGATAAATGGGCATGCTCCAAAGTCGGTCTTATTAAAATTCTATTTGTTTTTAAAATTTCGACATTAATTTGCTCCTACTGATAAATCCGTTTCACACAAAACTCAAATATTGAAGGATTATACAAAAGGTAGAAATTTACTAATTTAGCTATTAAGTATTATATTGATATATTTGGTGATTATTAAAATTTCACCATTACTAAGCAATTTTAAAACCGATACTGTAAGAAATATGTGTCTGAAATCCTTTTGAAAAAGATTTGTGGCGAAGAAAATTTCGTGATAGCGGTAAATTTCGAATATCATGAGTTAGCCGCGATCAATATCATCACGCCAAATGATGCTATATGCAGTGAATCTCTGCTCTAATGAGATAAAAGCAATAAACATGTTTTTCTTAATTTAATAACATTGAGAAGCAATGGTTCAAGGAACAGAGCGTTCCCCTTTTAATGTGGTTAACCGGGTTAGAATCCCGTTGATGGCTGGTCGATACGAATTCCGCATCCGCCTTGCACCAACATTGTACAAAACCACAGAACGAGCCAGCTAAATGCGTAAACTGCCTAGGTAAGCACCCAGCCTGTTTTTCGGGCTGTGGTGCAAGACACAAAAGAAAACCAAGAAGCAGATCCTCCCAGTCCATCAAAACCACAGACAAAGCAACCAGGTTCCTTTTGTTATTTAAGGAAACGCAGCAGCTTCTCAAGGATCCAGAACTTCAGAATCTACTTAGATCTCTACTCACAGAAAAGACGTAGAGACGGAGCTCACCCCACCAAGCCAGGCCTACCAAGACATCCACATCCCCACTGTGGAACATCTACACCCATATAGACACTATTCCAGGTGCCCACAGGCACAGTCTTCGATGAAAGAGTCAATTGTCCGCTTCGCAGACAGGCACTCTGTATCCATACTCTAGTGCAAGTTCAAGCTTGCACCAACCACAGTGTTCACGTGAAATAGCCACATTAGTAGACGGATTATTGGTCAGTGTCACTTGATCTTTAGGCTAACCGTGGGAAGTTCCTTCCAATGAGGTGAAGCGGGTTCGAATCCCTGCAATGGCTGGTCGATACGAATCCACATCCGGCTTGCACCGATCACAGTGCTGACGCGAATTATCCTCAGTGGTAGACGGACCATGGGTTAGAATCCTCTTGCCGTCGGGCAAACCGTGGATGGTTTTCACTGTTTTCTCTCCATGTAATGCAAAGGCAGGTTAGTTCCATCAAAAAAGTCTTCCTTGAAAATAAAATTTATCCCAATACTTGATCGAGGTGTTTATATATATATATATATATATATATATATATATATA